TTATCTGATGACCTTTTTCAGGCCAAGGATGTTGTTTGATTTTTAAAGATTGCTAAAATGTTTATGTTTGCTTACTTTCCCCAAATGGACATTGTAGACTTTTTCTGCTTACCTTTCTTTATAATGCAATAATTTTTCCCATGTAGTTTGTTGTTGTTGTAGTTTGTTGGTTCTGACTCACAGTAACCCTGTATAGAATTTCTGAGGAGAGGCTGGTGGGTTTGAACTGTCCATCTTGCTGTTAGCTTTCCAGTGCTTATTCTAAAGTGCCACACCAGACCCCCCATATAGTTTAAGACCGTATAATTAAGTGCACATAAATATCTTCTTGAGTTTCTTATTATGATATGGTGACCCTCTTTATCTCATTATTCTTAATAACGACTTTTATCTTAAAGTCTGTTTTGTTTGCTTTTACCTTCTTCTAATGTTTAGCCTTTCTGTTCTTGGCTTTACGCCTGTTTTTTTTTTTAAGAAATCCAACCTGAAAATCTGTCTCTTTTTATTGATTATTGATTTTTTTTTTTTTTGGTATCATCCTACGTTATGCTATTTGTTTTTATTTTTATTTATTTATTTTTTTCTTCTGGATCAATCCAGTTTTCTTTATTTCCTGCTTTCATTCTACTGCTTTAGAAAATATACATTCGATTCTATTCTTTTTGTAGCCTCCCTAAAACTTTACTATGCATTCTAGCCTTAACAACGTAGAAGGTAATTTTTCTTTCTGTCTTTTGGACAGTAGTCTTGTTGTTGTTATTAGGTGCTGTTGAGTCCATTCTGACCCATAGTGACCCCGTGTGACAGAGGAGAACTGCCCTAGAGAGCGCAAACTTTACTGGAACAGAATGTCACATCCTGAGGTGCTGGTGGGTGGGTTTGAAGCACTAACTGTTGCACTATCAGAGATAGGTTGCTGTTAAGTGCCATCGAGTCAGTTCCAACTCATAGCAACCCTGTATAGGGTTTCTGAGGAGTGGCTGGTGAATTTGAACTGCTCACCTTGAGATTCAAACCAACCTTGCAGTCCAGTGCACTCTTCCAGCACACCAATGCCAGAACTGTAAGGAACTTAATAGACTTTTATTCCCACCTACCTTTTCCCATCTATGGCCCAATGACTGATATTTTGGTTCTTTCTTATTCTTAAAATTCTGGTGCTGTAGGTTAATGAGCTGGACTGCAAGGTTGGTTTGAACCACAAGGTTGGTGGTTCAGACTCACCAGCTGTTTCTTGGAAACCCTATACAGGGTTGCGATGAGTCAGAAGCAACTTGATGGCACTTCACAACAACAACATTATTTTAACACTGCCTATTCAAAAGCCCAAACCAAACCAGGTGACTTTGACTCATAGTAACCCTGTAAGACAGAGTGGACGTGTCCTACGGTGCTTCCAAGGCTGTAATCTTTGTGGAAGCAGACGGTCACTTCTTTCTCCTGTGGAGTGGCTGGTGGGCTTGAGCCACCAAACTTTTGGTTAGCATTCAAGCATTCAACAACTGCACCACTACATTATATTTATCAATTTCTTTTGACACCGTCTTTCAGAGTTTAATTTCCACATTTCTGAAGTTTCCTCTAGCAGTTCTTTCAGGAAAGACTGCTTTTCTCAAAAAAAAAAAAAAAAAA